CGCGGAGCGGCTGGGCCTGTGAGCCATGGCCGCTGAGCCTGCGCTCCGCAACGGGAGAGGCCACAACAGTGAGAGGCCCGCGTACTGCAAAAAAAAAGAAAAGAAAACAAGCCAACTAACTCATTCAGGGAATGACTACTAATGGGTACCAGGTTTCTCTTTGGGGTGATGAAAATGTCCTGATGAAAATCAGGACCATGGCTCTGACTAGAATGAGGCGCAAAGAGATTTCTGGGGCATTAATAACATTATCTTTCCTGACTTGGATGCTAGTTACTTTGGGAGATGTTCACTTTGAAAAAAGTTATGATACGGTACTCTTCTGATTTATGCACTTTTCTGCATATGTTAAATTTCAATTAAAAAAATTACAATAAAGGAAATGTAATCTAGCCCTGAGTCTCGGGAAATAATCTTCAAAGGGCTAAACAAGCCCTCAACGGGTAACTGATTAATACCTGACTCCTGCGCTCTCTGCCCCAACCTTAACTCCTGCTTTTAAACAACCTCTTACTTACTTTACAATATCTTATTTATTCTTGCTGTACACAATGTACAGCCAGCCCAAGGTTGTACCTATCTTTACTGCCAAATTTCTTACAGAAGGACATGAGGCTGGTGCTTCTTCTATGGACAAGTCTCCCCATTTGAAACCTAAGAATTTTTACTTCAAAAGTATTTAACATTTGAAGTGCTGGAGGTTTTATCACCTGCTAAATTTCACAGTAACCTTGAGAGCTAAGTGTTCTCTCTCTTTGTATTAAAACAATAAAAAAGAAGTAGAGTCCTGTTGCCCTGAATTTATCCACCAGGTCATTTCATTCCATAACTCTGATAACTCCTTTTAATCCGTGGTTTTCAAACTGCTGGTCACAACATATTAATGAGCTGTGAGCCACTTTAGAGGGTCACAACCAGCATGTTTTTTTTTTTTAAATAAGAAACACGACAGAAAAGAAAACATAAGAACGTACCGCACGTGGTATGGTCAGTGCTTCTGTTACATATGCATATACGCAAGGAATACTGGGTCTCCACACACTTTTTATTGTTGTCTGTGAGTTGTGGTCAAAACATTTCAAAGCTACAACTTTAATCCTCCCACTTCACAGGATGGCAGAATCTCGAAACCAGGCTCCGACGACAACACGCATGGTTTATAGTGTCTCCTAAGCCTCAGGGGAAGGGCAGTTGGAGAGCAAAGGCAGTTTGGTTTCGGCAAGTTGTAAAATCTGGGCGTGCAGAGGGCAAGGAGAGCCGTCTACGCCAGTGACCGGACTGTGGTGGCAGGAAGCTCGGTGACTGCATGTGTGATCACCAACGACGCTCAGAAAGCGTTCACCTTGAATGCTGTGAGAAGGCTGACAATTATTTCAAAGCTGGTGCTTAAGGACAGAGAGGAGAGACTAAACAAAAGGAAGTGGCCTAGTTAAACAGAGTAACCATTACCATCAACACAAGGATTAGTCTGGACAAGCTGCGTTAAGAGTTTGTGGAAAAATAAGTAAATAACCAATGCTTTCATAATAAACTGTTTTGGTAAATGTAAAAAACGTTTTTCCTAAATAAGCGTGGTTCCAGAATCTTGAATGGGCTCGGCTCACACCACAGCTGCCGCCGCCCACACTGCATTCCCCTAGTTGGTCCACACCACCAGAACTTATTTTTAAATTTCAAAAGATTTTAAGGTTACTGTTAACCATTCCAGGACTACTGCGTAGTTAAAACTCAGCCAATCCAACTGCAGAGTGTGTGATGAAAACCAGTTGCCGTGATGGAGTTCCCACAGCGACCCTCCGGGGACTGGAGCTGGCTCCTGACTCTCGACAGCTGGCAACTCTTACATACACCTGCCATGAGAAGGTGCTTTCAGTTCAAGCCTCCCAGTGTGACTCCATACCATGAATTTCTATGGGACAGACATTCTTCCAGGGGCTCCACGCACGAGGGCGGGAGGAGGGAGGCATGACCCACCAAGTTACGCTGAGATATCTGCACAAAGGAAACGGCCGCAGCTCAACCCGAGCTCCCCTTTCACTGAATCTGCCCCACTTAGCTCTGCTACCCTTCTAGGTCCAGAAGCACTAAAGGGGGTTATTGCAGGGCTGCAAAGGAGCCAGTGATAGGAATCCCCCAAGTTCAAAGCTACCAAACACTTTCTTTCATATAAAAAGACAATTGTATTTCTACAGTATTTACTGGTGTCAAATCCCGGGACAATCTAAAGGGCTAGACTGGGTCAGGAGACCACCAGAAGGAAACACTTAACGTTAAGAAGTCGCACTGCTATCAACCCGATTTTCTATTCCTCCAAGTTCTTCCTGAGAGTTCAGAGTCGCAGCGCACCCTAAATGCTGCTGCTAGTGGCAGCTGCCTTCCTTGCTCCGGTCTCTCGGGACTCCTCCTCCTTCCTACAGGACCAGGACCATCCCTTCTCTCTCCCCGCCGTATGTCAATTGTCTCTGGCCTCAGCCTTCTTTTCCTAGTTTTCCCCAAAGGCTAGGATCACAGCCGTGACCTCCAGACTGCCGCAGCCCCGTGCTGCGGTGCTGAAAAATACTGCTCGGTCTTTGTAGTTGGCAAGAACACTCCTAAGAAAAGCAGTATTTACTTCTGACGGAAAACCAGTGTTTCACTAAATATGAATCCAGAAAGACACGACTCCTTTGGAAAGGAGTCTGAGCAGGTGTGAGGTAGAAAGGGAAAAATATACTTAGTTCAGGATTGTGACTGATTTTAAGACAGGCCTTTACTGTTCTAGAAATAGCTTAAAAATAGAAATATGCAGCATCTGGTGAACTAAAATTTTCATGATTTGGAGACTGCGAGAGGTCATTTTTTAACACACCCCCATGATATCTGCAATCCTCTGAAGATCTTTCACTTCGGGGAAACGGAAGACTTTTCCACAAGAGCTACGTCTTTCAACCTAAGCCCAGAATGACCGACATTCACAGCACTGCAGAATACAGCACGACTCTTTTTTTCCAACCGTCTCTCCACACTGATGCGTTTTAGAAGATACTGGTGTCACATGACGCAGTTTCTTCTTCGTGGTGGGATATTAACTAACAGCAAACGGGAGGACAACACAGAATTAGCTGACTACCATGCTGACTGGGGATTAAAAAAGAAGGGACCTGGGGGAGTGTTCGCTCAACAATGTTTATAAACAAGTCCTATACAACAAGACTACGTAAGAGAAGTCTAGACTGTTGTCATATCTTATGAACGTCTGTCTCTTATTTGCTCTAGTAAGCTCTCTTCGGTTGTAATTTAATAAGAAAAAACGGTTTCTAAAGTAGGCAAGGAACCCTGATTCAATTTAGGACAGCAGGCCTCAGCCACCATCGCACACATGACCAGCGGACACGATCAGTCAGGCACAGCCACAGACCCCACAAGTGGCCAGAACCGGCTTTCGAGGCTTCCCAAGAGGGGCCAGGAGAAGTGACTGTGAGCCCACCTGCACCCGCGCAGCTGACTCCAGCCCCACCACATTCTCGATCCTTCTAAACTCAGAACTGGCTCAAAGTGTGAGCAGCTATAGAGCCTGGACACAGTAAATGCTAAACAGATGCTCCTACGAGCACTGCCGACGCTGCTAGCACGCTGCTGCCACCAACACTGTTCTCGTCACGTGAGCCCACAATGACCCTGACGGCAGGTTGGGGAAAGCTACTTTGTCTTCACTCTAACAACAAGGACACAACTGCTATTTACTGAGCTCTTACTTGCCAGGCAGCGTGCTAAGCGTTTTCTTTTACGTAAATACAACAGTGATGCCATGAGGTATGTACAAGTATCACCACCTTTGCAGATAAGGAAGCTGAGGCTTAGAGGGCTGAAGTGACTTGCTCACGGTCGTACATACATACTCACACCCTTACGTGCACAGGTGGGGAGCTGCAACATGAGGTGAGTTAGTTCTGACTTTGGAGCCCCACTCCTACCTCTAGCCGGCAGTGCCAATCCACCTGCTCAGGCAACTTTCTATTTCCCCACCTGCCTCTATCCATTGAGTCCTCTCAACCTCTAAAGTGCAGTGATTCATCACAATTATCTGGGGGTGACACTGTGCAAGATTCAAAAGAAGTCCTCGTTTGTGCAAAATCAGACCCAGGACCTACTGTCTCGGGCAGCGGCCAAGAGTCCGGGCAACTTCCTCTTCTGCTGGGCGGGATGGAGCTGGGACAGCTGTCCACCACCGGTCTCGGGAGGATGACGCTCACAGGCAGTCCTATTCTAGGAAGAACCAGCGGCAGCAAAACATCCCCGTTCTTGGCTTGACAATCCATTTCCCCACCTTGAACCTTGATGCACTGGGGTTACTGAATTTGAACTTCTGTTGGTTCAAATCTTTGTGTTCCAAACTTTGTGTTCCAAACTTCTATTTCCTGTTAATTGTATCTGTCCCGAGAGATGACCAATACTAAACTTTACACAATTTAAAAGATAAAAGCAAGCTTTGAAATGCAAGAAAAATAACACGTAACAGTAGTAATATTTACATTCAAATCTATTGCGAGATGGCAAAAGTTCAGCAACATTTAAGGACTATCAAGTTTCATTAAATGGTTCCATGTTTTTGTTGAAAAATATAAAAATATTTTTCTATGAACACTTCATAAGAGGCAACGTGAAAATTACCATATTTTACAGAAATAATTAAGTCCGTCCTCAAATGTTCCTTTTTAATCCTCTAACTGCAACTTTCAGGTCTAGAGGGAAAAAGTTATTTTAAACCCTGTCCTGTGACTGTTGTCTACACATTTAAATTATGGGGAAAAGTCTTTAGAACTTAATTTTTCGACTATTTAAAATAAAAGCAAGACACAAAAATCACTTGGCAGTCAGATGGGACATGAGAGCCAACACAGTTCTTAAAACCAAGAGTTGCATTAGGCAGAACTCAGAGACCAGAAATTCCTTTTTCTTCCTCCCTCGTGCTGTTGGCAATTCCGCAAGTCCACGCCAGGCTTCCTTATTAAGTTTCTTGTGATATTCACGGGCTGCACACAGATCTCACAGTGCATTGTACTCCACACATTTCGATGGATCTGTAGGAAAGTGCTTCTGGCAAATGGTCATTAACCTCTTCAATCCCTAAGAAAATAAAAATAAATAATGGTTGGTTATGATATGGTTAAACTATTCTCGATCGCCCTCCTCTGTACTCACTCCAGTTTACCAACGTCCCCGCTAAAATGCAGCAGTCCCTGCAACACCACTCAGACGCACAACGTCCCCGCTAAAATGCAGCAGCCCCTGCAACACCACTCAGACGCACACCGAGAGAAAGACTTAATCGTGTGCACTCAGAGAAAGGTACAAGATGGTCATAGCTTGTTCACAAAAACAGTAACATCAAAAGTACCAGAAACAACCCAAATGTCCATCATAGGAGAATATGTGAATAAGCTTTAGTATGCTCACAAATGGAACATACTACATCAGTAAAAAAAAGAATTACCTAGAGCTACAATTTAGCCTTTCTCCACCAGGTTCCAATAGAGAATTAAGCCCTGCTGGCTAGCCTAAAGCACCCATTATATGTAACGAGACAGCTCCTCTCCGATGTACCCTAAAAGGGTGCTACATGTGTCCCATCCTTGGAAGAAGTGAGAAAACAGGCACTCAAATCATCTTCTGTGTTCTACGGTCCAGATGAGAAACTCTGGTTGAAAACAATGGATATACATGAATCTTAGAACATTAAATGTAAAAAGCAAGTGGCGAGGGGCTTCCCTGGTGGTGCAGTGGTTAAGAATCCGCCTGTCAATGCAGGGGACACGGGTTCAAGCCCTGGTCCAGGAAGATCCCACATGCCGCGGAGCAACTAAGCCCATGCACAACTACTGAACCTGCGCTCTAGAGCCCGCGAGCCACAACTACTGAAGCCCGTGCACGTAGAGCCTGTGCTCTGCAACAAGAGAAGCCACCGCAGTGAGAAGCCCGTGCACTGCCAACGAAGAGCTGCCCCCGCTCGCAGCAACTAGAGAAAGCCCGCGGGCAGCAACGAAGACCCAATGCAGCCAAAAACAAAAAGCAAGTGGCAAAATGCTATATACAGTATTATACCATTTAAAACTTTTTTTATTATATATAATTTTTACAGGTTACTTTCCATTTACAGTTATTACAAAATATTGGCTGTCTTCCCCGTGTTGTACAGTGCATCCCTGAGCCTGTCTTACACCCAACAGTTTGTACCTCCCCCTCCCCTATATTACCTTTCTCCCCCCGCCTCCCAACTGGTAACCACTGGTTTGTTCCCTGTGTCTGTGGGTCTGCTTCTTTTTGTTATGTTCACTAGTCTGCTGCATCTTTTAGGCTCCACATGTCAGTGACATCACTGTCTCCCTCTGACTTGTTTCACTTGGGCATAACGCCCACAAAGTCTGTCCCTGCGGCTGCAAAGGGCAAAGTTTCACTCTTCATGGCTGAGCAGTACTCCACTGTGTGTATGGACCACCTCTTCTATCCATTCGTCTGTTGATGGACACTTAGGCTGTTTCCATGTCTTGGCTACTGTAAATAGTTCTGCTATGATCATTAGGGTACATGTATCTTTTTAAATTAGTGTTTTGGGGTTTTTCTGGATATATACTCAGGAGTAGAATTGCAGGGTCATATGGTAGTTCTATTTTTAGTTTTTTAAGACACCTCCTTAATGCTCTCCACAGAGGCTGCACCAATTCACATTCCCACCAACAGTGTACAACAGTTCCCTTTTCTCCTCATCCCTGCCAGCATGTTATTTGTAGACTTTTTAATGATGGCCATTCTGACAGGTGTGAGGTGGTATCTCATTGTTGTTTTGATTTGCATTTCCCTGATGATTAGCAACATTGAGCATATTTTCATGTGCTTGTTGGCCATCTGCATTTCCTCTTTGGAAAAATGCCAATTCAGTTCTTCTGCCCTTTTTTTTTTGTGTGTGGTATGCAGGCCTCTCACTGTTGTGGCCTCTCCCGTTGTGGAGCACAGGCTCCAGACGTGCAGGCTCAGCGGCCATGGCTCACGGGCCCAGCCGCTCCGCGGCCTCTGTACTCACTCCAGTTTACCAACGTCCCCGCTAAAATGCAGCAGCCCCTGCAACACCACTCAGACGCACAACGTCCCCGCTAAAATGCAGCAGCCCCTGCAACACCACTCAGACGCACACCGAGAGAAAGACTTAATCGTGTGCACTCAGAGAAAGGTACAAGATGGTCATAGCTTGTTCACAAAAACAGTAACATCAAAAGTACCAGAAACAACCCAAATGTCCATCATAGGAGAATATGTGAATAAGCTTTAGTATGCTCACAAATGGAACATACTACATCAGTAAAAAAAAGAATTACCTAGAGCTACAATTTAGCCTTTCTCCACCAGGTTCCAATAGAGAATTAAGCCCTGCTGGCTAGCCTAAAGCACCCATTATATGTAACGAGACAGCTCCTCTCCGATGTACCCTAAAAGGGTGCTACATGTGTCCCATCCTTGGAAGAAGTGAGAAAACAGGCACTCAAATCATCTTCTGTGTTCTACGGTCCAGATGAGAAACTCTGGTTGAAAACAATGGATATACATGAATCTTAGAACATTAAATGTAAAAAGCAAGTGGCGAGGGGCTTCCCTGGTGGTGCAGTGGTTAAGAATCCGCCTGTCAATGCAGGGGACACGGGTTCAAGCCCTGGTCCAGGAAGATCCCACATGCCGCGGAGCAACTAAGCCCATGCACAACTACTGAACCTGCGCTCTAGAGCCCGCGAGCCACAACTACTGAAGCCCGTGCACGTAGAGCCTGTGCTCTGCAACAAGAGAAGCCACCGCAGTGAGAAGCCCGTGCACTGCCAACGAAGAGCTGCCCCCGCTCGCAGCAACTAGAGAAAGCCCGCGGGCAGCAACGAAGACCCAATGCAGCCAAAAACAAAAAGCAAGTGGCAAAATGCTATATACAGTATTATACCATTTAAAACTTTTTTTATTATATATAATTTTTACAGGTTACTTTCCATTTACAGTTATTACAAAATATTGGCTGTCTTCCCCGTGTTGTACAGTGCATCCCTGAGCCTGTCTTACACCCAACAGTTTGTACCTCCCCCTCCCCTATATTACCTTTCTCCCCCCGCCTCCCAACTGGTAACCACTGGTTTGTTCCCTGTGTCTGTGGGTCTGCTTCTTTTTGTTATGTTCACTAGTCTGCTGCATCTTTTAGGCTCCACATGTCAGTGACATCACTGTCTCCCTCTGACTTGTTTCACTTGGGCATAACGCCCACAAAGTCTGTCCCTGCGGCTGCAAAGGGCAAAGTTTCACTCTTCATGGCTGAGCAGTACTCCACTGTGTGTATGGACCACCTCTTCTATCCATTCGTCTGTTGATGGACACTTAGGCTGTTTCCATGTCTTGGCTACTGTAAATAGTTCTGCTATGATCATTAGGGTACATGTATCTTTTTAAATTAGTGTTTTGGGGTTTTTCTGGATATATACTCAGGAGTAGAATTGCAGGGTCATATGGTAGTTCTATTTTTAGTTTTTTAAGACACCTCCTTAATGCTCTCCACAGAGGCTGCACCAATTCACATTCCCACCAACAGTGTACAACAGTTCCCTTTTCTCCTCATCCCTGCCAGCATGTTATTTGTAGACTTTTTAATGATGGCCATTCTGACAGGTGTGAGGTGGTATCTCATTGTTGTTTTGATTTGCATTTCCCTGATGATTAGCAACATTGAGCATATTTTCATGTGCTTGTTGGCCATCTGCATTTCCTCTTTGGAAAAATGCCAATTCAGTTCTTCTGCCCTTTTTTTTTTGTGTGTGGTATGCAGGCCTCTCACTGTTGTGGCCTCTCCCGTTGTGGAGCACAGGCTCCAGACGTGCAGGCTCAGCGGCCATGGCTCACGGGCCCAGCCGCTCCGCGGCATGTGGGATCTTCCCGGACCGGGGCACGAACCTGTGTCCCCTGCATCGGCAGGCGGACTCTCAACCACTGCACCACCAGGGAAGCCCTGCCCATTTTTAAAGTGGGCTATTTGTCGAGCTGTAATGGGCTGTTTATATACGTTGGGTATGAATCCTTTATTAGTCATATCATTTGCAAATATTCTCTCTCATTCAGTAGGTTGTCTTTTAGTTTTGACAATGGTTTCCTTTACTCTACAAAAGCTTATAAGTTTAATTAGATCCCATTTGTTTATTTTTGTTTTGTTTCCATTACTCTAAGACAGATTCAAAAAATATTGCTTCCATTTATGTCAAAGAGTGTTTTGCCTGTTTTCCGCTAGGAGTTTTACAGTATTTGGTCTTACGCTTAGGTCTTTAATCCATTTTGAATTTAAGTTTTGTGTATGGTGTTAGAGAATGTTCTAATTTCATTCTTTCACATGTAGCTGTTCAGTTTTCCCAGCACCACTTATTGAAGAGACTGTCTTTTCTGCACTGTATATTCTTGCTTCCTTTGTCGTCAATTAATTGACCATAAGCCATGGGTTTACTTCTGGGTTTTCTATCCTGTTCCATTGATCTATGTGTCTGTTTTTGTGCCAGTATCATAATGTTCTGATGAAAGTCAGGGAGCATAATTCCTCCAGCTCTGTTCTTCCTTCTCAAGATCATTTTGGCCATTTGGGGTCTTTTGTGTTTCATACAGATTTTAAAATTAGTTGTTCTAGTTCCGTGAAAAATGCCATTGGTATTTTGATAGGGATTGCATTGAATCTGTAGATTGCCTTGGGTAGTACGGTCATTTTAACAATATTGATTCTTCTACTATTATACCATTTTAATACAACTCAAAAACAACTTAAAAATAATATATTGCTAAGAAATACACACATAACATGGCGGAATTATTTTTGAAAAAGCAAGGAAATGACAAATTGTGGATAATGGTTACTTCTGGGGTACAGGAGGAAAATACAGATTCTATGATCTTCAGAAAGTTCTAGTTCTTAAGCTGGGATTAAGGCCTTTACACATTTATCTTATTCTTTGCCTCATAACTTACATATCACATGTGTTCTTTTTTACGTACCAAATATTACACAATAAAAAAATCATACTATAATCATAAAAAATAGCACAAGCATGACCTGGCCAGTTCTGCAG